ATACTCGATTTAATACCCAACATTCACTAAACTGTGGTGCTCTTAAGGGGCACAAGCATATGCCATTCTTTGCTATCTCTGCTTACCAGCTGCAGTCAACCTTGACGGGAATTTCAGTAATCCCTGTAATGAGCCTATATAAGCAGGTAATCTGCTGTTTTTTCTCTCCAGTGGGAGGGTACCAGAGACTGGGGCCTGAGGAAGGTTAACTGAGGCTGTGGTGACATGAGATAAAGAGAGCCAGTCTAACAGCTCACTGCCACTGAAACAGGAGAGGGTTCTGCTCACTTCTTCACCCTGGCTCTCAGCTGCACAGCCCTGACACCTTGCATGAGCTCTGGTACTGCTGTGGGCCCATCTCACTGATCTGGGAAAAACCCCTCCCTGAAACCAAAAGCTCAAAGAGTTTGCTCTTGGGATAAGGAGATAATGAGTCTGATGTGCTCCAGGGCTGGTACACTGAAGGGGGCAAGACTGTGCAGCTGGGAGCATGGCGGGAGGTGAGAAAAGGCAGGAGCTAAACTGCCTTCTGATGGCACCAAGCTCTTACATGACTCAGCTGTTTGTGAAACCACAGCCTCACAGTCTGGGTAGTGATTGGGAGCAGGGAAGAGTTGAAGAGGCATATTATCCTGGGTGTCTGAGGAAAACACGGCATTTGAAGGCAATTGGATTTGGGGATGTGTGGTGTGCTTGATTCAGAGAAAGTGCAGAGGAGTATTTTTACTGCTTGCTTCTGAACAGTGGTCTGTGGAGTACTATACTGGAAAAGAGAGAGCTGTATACCACTCTCAGGAGGAGGGGGCCTCCCTGCTGGGGTGGGAAGGGCATCTGTCCTGGGAGCATATTGCTGGAGTGTTGCTGAGAACAGAATGGGAGATGTATCCAGGAGAAGGCCGTTAGAACACGCGTGCGGCTGAAAGACGGAACAGAGTTGACAAGGCTGGTGGAAAGAGAGGCAATGGCTGCTGGAAGCCACGCTATTTCCTCTCATCCATTCACCACTGTGATTTTTTTGTCCCCAAAACTAGGCTCTAGAGGCAAGTGGAGAAGCAGTAACAGGCTCCCACCTGCCAGAGTCCCTCTGCACCTATTCTCTGCCATGCTGTGGCACCTAGGGATCCTGTCATCTTCCCTGGACCGGGTGATGGTCTGTCAGGACCCTACGATTCTTTCACACAGAGTGAGCTAAGAGCACTTCAGTCTGTCGAAACACTTCTGTTGAGAGAGTAGTAAGCCAGCTACTGATTATTGTTGACATATTTCTTATTCTGGTAGTCTGTCCAGCTGTCAATAGATTCAAGACTTTTGGATTCTAGTTGTCTCAGATTCTGTGCTTTACCTGAGCTCCCATTAAGTTTTAGTTTGGGTGTTGTCCTTTATCCTCCCTTTGGCGCTTTCCTGCTTTGCAGCTGATCATATTTTGAATTGGTTCCAAGAATAATTTGCTCAGCAATTACAAAATTTCTGGCAACAGCAGTTTATTCTTAAAAGGAAAGAATGGATTTGATGCTTTATAGTTGACCATTCAAGAGACCGAGTTTTGCAAGCGAGCTCTGCTTGTTTGATGTTCAGGCCAACTGTGGACTGAGGTTTGGTACTAACTTCTAACCGTCATCTTCTGCTGTTTTAACACAGTTCAGATTTGCAGTCCTTTGCCTTCTGGTTGCATCTTGCAATTTTACTCCCAGCTTTTCCTCAGCCACACATCTTCAAGGATACATTCAACAGGAGTTTGTTCCCAGTTTGAGGATTACTGCTGTAAACTAAAGCCCTGTAGCAGTCTCACAAAAAAGTGATAATTTATATGATTCCATGGCTGAAACTGTGATTTTTAATTTGCTTTTCTACACTTGGTGCTTACTTTGCTATATTAGTGCACATGAGCTCACAATCAACTCCTGGA